CTATTTTTTGGTTGCAGCCGTCATTGTTGTTTGGCGGGTCCGGGCTGGGGATTCGAACCCGCCACCTTAGGTGTACGTGGCTGGCGCCTTAGCTGGTTGAGCTATAGGCACCGAGCCCAGAGTTTTATATTTTACAGTTAAGCCCATTCTGAGTTATTAATAATTTTTGTTTAAGTTGTGAGCTGGTTTTCTTTTTTGACTTCACTTGTCCACCAGTCCCAGCACCATCTGTTGGAAAGGTTGTGTCTCCTCACTGGATTGCTTTCGAGGCTTTCATTCTGTAGACAAACCAGCAAGTGGCTATAGTTCTAGATTGACAGTTAAAAACAATTTCCTTCCTTCACAGATGTTATTTCTTTGTCTTCTGGCCTACAGGGTGTCTCCAGTCTTTATGTTCTGTGCCAGTTACCAGTGTCTTGCCTGTCAGCTCTATGCCCTGATACCCCTTCTTTGTCCTGCCTTGTGATCCTGGAGCTGGGCCCTCCATGCTATTTCTCCTTGGCTAGTTGGTGCGATGTTAAGCCCTATCCCTAGAGGGAGCTGAAGGGGCACCACCTTAGGAGGAAGGGGTCTGCAATTCCTGATTCTAGTGTGGCTGCCAGAGCCTGGGTACACTCAGTGACACCCTCTAAGAGTTTAGCAGCACCCAGTGGCTGGCTTCCCAATGAATCTCTGAAACACCTCAAAGGGGATAATTCCTGGCAGGTTTTTGGGCCCCCATCTAGCCCCCAGTGAGTCTGCCTCCCTCATGTCTGAGTGGTGGCTTCAACTAAGTCCTGCTTAGCCCCAGCAGGAGGTCTCCTGTTGGCTGGCCTGGCCTCCTGCACCTCAGCCCATGTGCCACCACGTGGCACCTCAGTCCATGTGCCACCATGTGGCACCTCACAGCCACACTCCATCATGCCACAGTGGATTGTGAGAGGCAGTGCTTCTGTGGGCTTGTTGCCTTAGTCCTGGTGGGGCTGCCCTGGACCTCAGCAGCCGCTGTCTTGGAAGCACCTTTGTACTTTACTGGAAACCCTCTGTTATTATTCAATCATTCTTTATGTTAAATATTTCCTCTTCAAATTATTTGTGACTGATAACACTTATTTTTGCCTACTGTACATAATGTGTCTGTTTTCTCTGGCTGCTTTTAAGATTTTTCTCTTTGTCTCAGCACCTGTGGCTCAAGTGGCTAAGGTGCCAGCCACATACACCTAAGGTGGTGGGTTCGAATCCAGCCCGGGCCTGCCAAACAACGATAGCTGCAACCAAAAATAGCTGGGTGTCGTGGCAGGTGCCTGTGGTCCAAGCTACTTGGGAGGCTGAGGCAGGAGACTCGCTTGAGCCCAGGAGTTAGAGGTTGCTGTGAGCTGTGATGTCACGGTACTCTACCCAGGGTGACAGCTTGAGGCTCTGTCTCAAAAAAAAAAAATAAATAAAGACTTTTCTCTTTGTAAACTTTTCTGCAGTTTAAGGGATACACTATGTATGGGGAGGGGGCGTCACCTTGCTTAGGTTTGTTGAGATTTTTGGATGTACCATGCTTATGAAATTTGGAAGTGCTCCAGCTGTTCACACACTCAGCCCTTCCCTGCCGTCTGCAACTCCAGTTACTCACATAGACTGTCTCATTTGGGCTCCCAGGCCCAGAGATCTTTGCTTATCTTCTTTGGGCATTTTTTCTGTTTGTGTTTTATTTTGGGCAGATTGTATTTCTGCATCTTCAGGTTCATGTCTTTTGTCTAAGCTGTGATTAAGTCAAGGCTGAGCATTTTACATATGAGCCATGGTAGTTTTCATCTCTACAGGTTTGATATTCGTTTTTAAAAAATTTTTTTACATTTCTCTTCTAGTCACCATCATGCTTTAAAAAAAATCCTTGAGCATTTTGAGCTGTTTAAAACAATGGTTTCTTTTTTATTGTCTCTGTCATTTGTAGGTCTGTTCTGTCAACCTCAGGGGTCCCCAACTTACAATGGCTCAGTTATGACCTTCTGACTTTCAGTGCATTTGTTGGGACACAGCCTCATCCTAAATCAGCAAGTATCTGTAGTTTGTTTTCTGTTTATGGGAAGTGTATTTTTGGCTACTGAATTTCTGATAAATTTCTTTCTTTCTTTTTTTTATTTCAGTTTTTGGCCAGGGCTGCGTTTGAACCCACCACCTCCGGCATATGGGGCCAGTGCCCTACTCCTTTGAGCCACAGGCGCTGCCCACAAATTTCTTTTTATTGCTTTGAGACAGAGTCTCAGTTTGTTGTGCAGGCTGGAGTGCTGTGGTGTGATCATAGGTCTCTGCAGCCTCGAGTTGCTGGCTCAAGTTACCCTCCTGCCTCAGCCTTCTGAGTAGTAGCTGAGACCACAGGTGCCACTGCTATGTCTGGCTTTTTATTTATTTATTTATTTATTTTCCAGTTTTTGGCCAGGACTGGGTTTGAACCCGCCACCTCTGGCCTATGGGGCCAGCGCCCTACTCCTTTGAGCCACAGGCACCACCTTTTTTTTTTTTTTTTTGTAGTGCTGTCTTGCTGTGTTGCGTAGGCTGTTCTCCCTGGGCTCAAGCAATCTTCCTGCCTAGGCCTCCCAAAGTCCTAGGAGCACAGGTGTGAACCACTGTGCCAGCCTGTCTAGTAGGTTTTGGCTGGGTGCCTGTCACTGTGATGTCTTCACTGTTGAGTGCTGAGTTTAACTGTATTCCTAAAGTCCACTTGAGGATTAGTTTGATCTTTCTCAGGTTTGTTTTCACTTGTGTTGGGGTAGGTCTGCAGCAGCCTCTCCTGAGGGTGATTTACTCCTATGTCTATGGCGTGGACTCCCCAGAGTCCTGGTGAGTGCCCTGTGTGTTCAGTGAGGTCGTTCCACACTGGCCAGAGGGAACGAGAGGGATTCCTGGACCTTTGCACAGGCTGGGAATCATCTGTCTTAACCATCTGGGAATTGTTCTTTCCTCAAAAGTTAGTTCCTCTTTTTGGCATCATGTGTAGGTTGGTCTTCAGCCAAGACACAAGAGGACCCCATGTATACTTCCCTCTACCTGTGCACACTCCTCCTTCAGGTGCCAAATTCCGGCTGCCTTGCCCTCTATACCTGATACGTTTAAATATAAACAAACTGGCACCGCTTTTAATCAGACTGATCTAACTTACACACAGAAAACCCTGGATCCAGCCTCCAAGACTTAAGCAACCCCCCCCCCCAAAAAAAACCTGTGGAAAGGTCTATGCATGTCAGAAGTGGGGGCTGCTCCTTCTGGGGGTCCATATAAATACCTGCCTTTATCTGTCAGGTTGAGAACAGAAAAAGCAGTGGATTTTTGGTTAATTGGTGCTGCCGTCTACAGCTGTAAGCGTCTTGGTTGTGTGACGGGGGAGATGTGGTGGTGGAGGTCCTGCTGATTGGCTCCTAACTCTCGGCAAACTTAGGGTTCATGACTGTCGTGGTGGCACTCTTGAAAAGGGGGTTATCCTGGTGAGAAAGGCAAACATGGGCTTGTTGGTGGGAGGTTTCAGAGCAGGCTCCTTCTCCCCGAGGCCACTGGGTCAAGGTGGAAGCTGTTGTTTCCAGGTAGAGCCGGAGTGGGGCGGCCAACCTGCTTCCCGTTGCTGTGGCCAGACTCACTCATGGCAGTGTCACATGGACAAGCTGCTGGGGAAGGCCAGTGTTTGGCCACACATAGATGACCACACCCGGGGAGCAAGCGGTCGGAGCCTGGGTGGTGCCCCCTCCATGCAGGACCCCCAAGCACAGCCACTTACGTTGTTCCACTGGGACTTGAGTTTCTCCTTGAAAGTCCTTATGCTTTTGGAGGTCACTCAAGTGGGGCAGGGCCTTCCAGATGACCAGCAGCAGGACACCGATGAACACAACCATCCCCACGATGATCCCTACAATGATCCCTACCACGGCGGCCACACAATCTAAGGAGGAAGCACACACACCAGAGCGTCAGTTCCTCCCTCTCTCACCAGCCCATGTGTGCTGTTGGGTCTGTGGTCACTGCTCAGCATTTAGTTGGACAGAGGGTCCCACTGCCTGGGTCACTGTCCACCACCACCCTGTGTGTTGGTGAGAACCTAGCCCTGCCCCCTCTGGAAACAAGGCCAACCAAGCCCTGTGGTTCCATCTGACACAGAGAAGAAAGGATGCCCAGGTCACCAGCCAACCAGGGCAGAGTATTCATATTTGGGTAGGAAACAGTGCCTGAGGGACCCCTGCCCTCTTCCCACAGAAGTTAGGAGCGGGACTTGAAGGGTGTCTGCTTAAGTTTGCCCCTGGTGACCAATGGCAGGAGGCAGAGCTCTGCACCGGGGCAGGTGAGGCTACCCACTTGCCTCCCTGAGTTCTGTTTTGGGGAGGGAGTTTTTGGGAGAGATGCTCCCAGGTCTCAGTCAGCTAGAGTCCTGGTGGGCTGGATATGGTTTCTTACACCTGTAGCCCCAGCTAATTGGGAGGCTGAAGTAGGAGGATCAGGTGAGGCTGGGAGGTCAAAGTCACAGTGAGCTATGAGCACATCTGTGAATAGCCCCTGGCTCCCAGCCTGGGCTACATCACGAGGCCTCTTTAAAAAGAGGCCCACCTCAGCCTCTCCAGGGCTGGGATCTGAGCACCAGTGGGGGATGTTACCAGTCCTGGGACCCTGGGACCTATGCGTAGTGGAATGGCACTGTCTCAGCCCCCATTCTGGGGCAAGTGAGGAAAGGAGGGGACGTGGGGTCAGTGGCAGGAGGACACTCCAGCAGGCTGGGCCTGCCTGGGCCCTGGGAGGGAGACGCTCCACCTGTAGCATCCTCAAGTCTGCCAGGCCCCTGCCCTGGGCTGGAGGCTGCAGCCTCACCTCGTGTTTTCTCCACGTGGATGTGGTACTGTTCCCACCCGTCGAGCTGCTTCATTGTGTAGGTCATCCAGCAGCCCTCCGATTCCTGCTCCTTGCACCTTCTCCAGCTCAGGGGCTCCTTCTGCAGCTGTAGCCCCCTGCACGCTGCGCTGCAGTTCTTCTCGAAGGGGCCCTTGTTGAACTGCAGGCCCTCTGCACAGAAGCTGCGGGGGGTGGGGGGAATGCCATCGCGTTAGAGGTTGCTCAGGTGGGGCGCTGGGGTGCCTATGGGGTACGAGCGAGGTGGGGACGGTGGGGTGGAGGGCCCTGAGGGGCCCGAGCCCTGAACGCTCACATGTAGTTGCGGCAGAAGTTGCAGCCCTGGCACTCCTGGCACAGTGGCGGCTGGTAGCCCGGGTAGCACTCGCACGCGTTGCAGCGGCACCGGCCCCGGCCACTGCACTCCTTGCCCCACTGGTTAAGGCAGCCCTCAGTGGAACTCTGACACTGGCAGGCCGAGCCCTCGTAGCCGGTCTGGCAGCTGCACGTGCCACAGAAGCAGAGCCCCCTCTCTGGAAGGCAGTGGTGGGAAGCTCACCCCTGCCCCCTTGCCTGTCTGCACCCCGCCCACAGTCCCCACACACCCAGCCGCCTCCCCACACAGTGGACTAAAGTGCTGAGACACGTCCCCCCCGCCCCCAGCCTCCTGGTCCGTCCGGCCTCCACTTGCCCCTTTGCCCGTGGGACCCCGGGTGGGGCCTCCACATGCCCCCCTGCCCGTGGGACCCCGGGTGGGCTAGGACCATCGCCTTCTGGGGCCCTCCCTACCAGTCTCAGGGACGTAGATACGGAGGCAGGGCAGGCGGAGGGTCGCCCGAGGTCCTGCCGCCGAGCAGCTGAGCTAGTCCGGTAAGGTCTGCCTATCTGCCTGTCGCGTCCCCTCTTTCTGTTCCCATTCGCTCCCCGGGTGCACAGCGACAAGCCCCGCCCCCATCAGGTGCGAGCAGAAAAGGACCGCGGCTGCTCCGCCTCCCGGCCACGCCCCCGTCGGGCGGGACGCGCGCGCTCACTCGGGCCTCCGCAGACTTGGCCGTCGTAGCGCTCGCAGTTGAAGTTGTCGCACTCGCAGTACCGCCCATAGATCTGCTTGTTGGGGGCGTCGCTGGTGTGGCACACGCACTGCCCGCAGATGCAGTCGCCCAGCCCCGAGCAGACGATGGAGCTGTTGTCCTTCCGGCAGCTTCCTTCCAGCTCCTGGCTGCTCCGGCCCTGCGTCTGGCACTCACAGCTTTTCCCGATGTAGCCATCGTCGCACCTGGGGGTGGCAGGGGTCTGAGCTCTACCCACAGCGCTGACCTAGGACAGCCGCCCCACTCTTTGGGGGCCCCCGGCCTTGGAGAGCACTTGCTGTGGCGCGGGGCTCCTGCTCTTTGCTCAAACGCCTGCTGGGCACATACTGTGCCCCATAAGCGTGTGGGGAGAGCCGTGCTCCCTCCAAGGACATCCGGAGAGGGAAGCAGACGCGTGACCTTGGCCATGACAGCAGAGGCTGTGTCCTGGGCCCTGAAGGCAGGCCATCCAGGCACGCGGGCATTCCAAGGGCACCAGGGTCTGCTCTCTTGTGCCCCAGGGTCTAGGTGGCCGGTGGGGACTTGGCACTGCCCTCTGCCACAGCTCCACCCTCACTCCTGCCTGAGGCTGCCTGCGTTTAAGTGCTGCCCAGGCAGGTTTCCGGAGGGTTCAGGGACAAGGTGTCTAGTCAGACAAGGACAACAGTCCCCAAGCCACTGGCACGCAGGTGCCTTGTGTACTCCCAGGCAGCCAAAGAGATGACCCTCACAGGCTGTCCTGCACCCCAGGGGAGGAGACCAGGGCACACTATCTCAGTGACCTGTAACTGAGCCCCACTGCCAGCGGCTTCAGTTCCAACTAAATTATCCTCATTCTCCCTTGAGGACGCTACCTGAGAGCTGCACACCAGGACAGCAGGCAGAGGGCCACTGAGGAGGGCACAGGGACAGACACAGAGACTACCATGTTCTGAGCTGCAGGAGGCACAGGGGGGTCATGGGGCCCGAGGGACAGGCAGTGCACCTTGATGAGGGTGTGGGTGGGCAGGGCAGCCATGAGTGGAAGGTGGTCAGGGCCCAGGGCATGTGCCTGGGTTGCCAGGTGGCAGGTGGGCTGTGGCTCTGGGCTCCTGAGAAAATGGGCACAGGGGAATGAGGACATTGGAAATGGCAGTCCAGCCCGGGGCAGGCAGCAGGCAAGGACTGGAGTGGACAGTTGTGTGAAGAGGACATCCTGGGGGCCTGTTCTCTGTGCTGCTGGCCTGTCTGGTGAAAAGCTCCCTGCTGGGCACACCTGTGCCCACCCTTTGGCCTGAGGCAGGGCACCCACACCTGACTGCACCTGAGCCTCGGGGTATGAGCACATCCAGGGTGGACTGTGGGGCCCTACCTGCCTCAGATGCATTCTGGCCATGGTATGCCCCAGGGCTGCTGGCCTGATGGCTGTAGGTCCCCAAGGTCAGAGAGAGATAAGCCCACAAGTGAGGGCCTAGTTACAGAAAGGGACAAGTGAGGCTGGGTACGGAAAGTCACCTGCCTCAGGTATATACAATGGGGCTCCCTACACCCCTGAGAT